TCCCACACCCAACTGACTTGCCAATAAAGGTATGTACTCTATTATTGCAAGTCGAACCCTCCAATGCCTATCCTCAGCAAGTTCAACTATAGCCGGCAATAGAGATTGTGACAAAAGATCAATTCTAATAACCTGCAATAATAGCTACTTATCAATATGATTGGAAATAAATATGCATATATTCAGTCTGCAAGTGCATTGCAGAAGAGCATGTAAATATGACAGAAGACATGAACACCTAAACATTAAAGACATACATAAGCATGAGTGAGAGATGCATAGGACAATATGGACAATCATGAGTAAATTGTAAAGATTTGGCAAAGCATAATTAGGGCCAATCTCTATTGTTATTATTATTTTTAAAAAGGCCAAAATAATATACAAAAGTAAATTATCTTGATGAGGTGAAATCAGCCATGCATGAAATACACAACAAATATGAATAGTGATTCTCCTCATCTTTGTTGCATAACACACAACGATTATGAAGGCCCATTTGGGAACATTATTGTTTGTTGCCCCTATATATCATGTTTGGATTGAAAGGAACTCCAAAATTTTTTGGAGGAATGAATAGGCATGATTGTAACCTATGGGAATTTCTTTTAAGGTTCTGTTTGTCTTTATTGCTTTGATTAGTTGGTTTCTACTCGTGTTCTTGTCTTGATTGCTTTTAAGGTTCTTTGAGACTGTTGTTTCTTTCTTTTAAGGTTCTGTTTGTCTTTATTGCTTTGATTAGTTGGTTTCTACTCGTGTTTTTGTCTTGTTTGCTTTTAAGGTTCTTTGAGACTGTTGTTTCTTTCTTTTAAGGTTCTGTTTGTCTTTATTGCTTTGATTAGTCCCCATTATATAGATAAACATTATTGAATCAAAGCCTAGGTTCCATTTGAAAAATCAATCCCCATTGCTCACCTGAAAAATCAAAGGCCAAATATTAGCCTCATCCTCAATTAAAAAACACCCTTGCACAGTGGCTCCATTCGTCAATATTGAAGCGGGTTTGGGGCTGTCACTGTTGATGACGATTGGGATGGCGGAGGGAGGGAGGGAGGGAGGGAGGGAAGAAGAGAGGAGATGAAGAGAGTAATAGGGGGTTTGGGGTTCGGTCACCGGCAAGGGTTAGGCTCCGACAGGGAAGCACCGGACAGACGCTTAGTCTGATTTCAAAACAAAATACAGGTTAGTTAATTCCAAGTAAACTAAAAGTATAAGTTTGATTGCATAGAAACTTGACAGACACTTAGTCTCAACGGAATCTTTGAGAAAGAGAGGTCCAATTTTACAAATCTTAAACATTGAGATCCAAGAGTCATCTCAAGATTTCCTAGCAAACAAACCAAAACACAAAATAAAATCAAGTAATAAATTATCAATTAAAATAAAAAAAAATATCAAAAAAAAAATTAACAAAATAAGTGAAACTTAATTCTAAACTAAAACTATAAGTTTGATTACAAAGAAATATGATAGAGAAGTCTCAATGGCGACTACGAGAAAGAGAGGTCCGTTTTTACTAATCTCAAGCATTGAGATCCAAAAATCATCTCAAGATTTCCTGGCAAGCAAACAAATCAAAAGATAAAGTAAAATCAAGCAATCAAGCAATAAATAATATATTTACCAAAAGAAAACCAATCCATTTAAAAAAACAAAATAGAATGCTGTGAGATATTCCAGCTCTGCAATAAATAATTACAGAGAAAAAGAATTAATTATTTGAAGTTTGTTAACAAATCTAGTATTATAACCATGAATTATTTTCCATTACCATATAAGTGTTAATCACCTTCTGTTATTTTACTATTCCATGATTCATTCCCAGGTCTTGTGTAGCCTCCAACAACCATTTATCCCTCAAAATAGAATGCTTATAATTATTTACAGTGTACAATTAAAATATGGGAAACTCGATAGCATTTTTGAAAATTTTACCATTTAGCTTATATTATAACCATGTTCGTCATCGGTTGTAACTTGACAAAATGCAGCATGATGTCTTTTTCTACACACACAAAAATATAGAGAGAGAATGTATTGATATGGTTGTTATCCCAAGTTCTATATATTCCACTCGCATTATGATGGTTGCTCATTTTATTAGGCAATGGCAATGCCAAATGAGAGAAGAACAACAAACAAAATACTTCTAGTTTTATTTAACTGAGAGTTAATTGACATATTAGCTTATGGACTTCACAGTTCATCATTAGCTAGTTGGTGAGGGTGACTTATCTCAGAAACGAAAGTCTAGGCAACAACACATTGTCCAACTTATCTATTTAACCGTTGGATCTAAAGTTCGGAATGATCTCAGCCAAACTAACAAAATGTAAGAGATATGGTATGCATATTGCAAAGCAATGGTGATGATTCACCTTGGCACACAGTTCCAGAGGCCTGCAGTTGAAAAATAGCAAGGAAGTGTCTGTTGGAAGAGAATAGGGTTCAGTTTCGTGTCAGTAACAAATAAAAGATTGGATAAATAAATAATTTCTATTTTAGAATTTAAATAAAGCCTTTTTTTTTATTAAAAAAAAAAAGTTCAAAATTAAAGGTACATTGAACTTTACATTGTCAACAGTTAAAAAGTACTTAGATGAAACCAATTCAAAACTCTAACTTCAAATGAAACTTTTCCCAAACCAATTCCATCAAGACCTTCTTAAGTTGAGGACAAATTTCACCAACTAAAACCAAAACAGAGCAAACAATACACACTAAAACAAACTTAAACTACATTTTCCAGATTATTACAAATAAAAAGAATGAAAAGGACAACTTAAAAAACTTTAAAAGGGCCAAATTTATTCAACACCACAATATATTCACATCACACCTTGAAAACAACTAAAATAACCCTGAAATTCATTTTCGATTTAACAGAAATTATATTCACATCATATTCAATACCACAATATATTCACATCACAGAAATTAATTTTCGATTTAACAGAGGGGGATAGAATCACCAGAAAACAACTGAGGTTCTACTGGATTTCAAAAATTCAAAATAGTAGAAAGAGCACCTGATGGAGGAGGGGAAACACAACAGAATGGTGTGCATGTGCTGTGAGCTGGAGAAAAACAGATATTGCAATTCTCTTGCAGAAACATTGTCTCCAAAATTATTTAGGAAAACATTTGCTCCCATGGAGAGAGATAGAGAGAGAGAGAGAGAGAGAGAGAGAGAGAGAGAGTTACCTTTGAGGAGAGTGTGTTCTTCAGGAAGAAAAGCGTCGAGATCAGGCTTAAAAGGGGGTACTTGTTGGTGCAATGCAAACTGAAACTGATGGAGATCAAAGAGTTGAAAAACAGCACTCATGCACCCAGACCCAAATCACACCGATTTGACGATTCACATGCGGCAGATCCATCAGTTTGGGCACAGGAGGGGGACAGTGCAATGAAGAACGGCAAAGGCGGAGGAGGAGCAAGAAAGGAGGCAGCGATCTTCTTTGAGGATGAAGCGGTCGTGAGAAGCACAGGTGATGAAGGATTGGACGAAACCAATGTCGAAAAAATCGAGGAGGTAGATGAAGGAAGCGATGAGGGAGGCGATGGCAGCAAGTTCAAAGAGAGTGACGACGTGGAGATGGGTGGAGGATCGGATCTGATCGCGCTAACGATGAAGGAGGTAATAAGCCATAGAGAAGAAAAGTGTGAAGAAAATGCTGTTGGGAGGAGGAGGAGGATGAGAGAGAATGTGTTGAGCAGATGTGTTTAGCTTAGACGTGGGAGAGAGAGCAAAGAGTTGTTTGGGCGGGAGATCCATTGATCTGAACCATTGATATAAACTTGGAATTAATCTCAGCCATTGAATCAAAATGTATTTCACATACATTTTATACATTTTCAAAAACCTTCTCCCCTTATTATATAGATGATAACACCAATGATATTATATTTAATATTTGCTCCTCGGCCATCATCGCAACCAACAAGCATACATTTATTTTATGAGTGGTATTATACAAACATATAATTTTGGAAAAATCATACTTATGGTCCTTGTGTTTTATCTCATATCAATTTAATTCTTGTAATTTTAATTGTATTAATTTTGCCTTTTAATTTAAATAATGCTATATGCACCAATTAGTGTATTAACTAGTGTACTAATTGATGATGTGGCATAATTTAAGAGATTTTTGATATTTGTAATGTGATTAATGAGTAGAGTCAATAATAATGTCATAACTAGTGTTGGTATACTAGTTAGTACACTAATTGGTGCATATAATACCACAATTTTAATTTTTTATATTGTGCTAATTTAATCCAATTGATATCATTTACTAAAAAATTGGAGAAATCAAGGACAAAATTGTTCATTTCAAAATGAAATAGATCGTTTTAAATTAAACACTACCCTCAATCACTTTGAGAAAAATGAATGAATTATTCTACCTATTGATTTCAGTCTAATTTTTAAAGTGATATTATCAATTAGACTAGAGATAATGTTAAAAAATTAAAAAAAAAATCAAAGATAAAAGACAAATTATAAGAAAGACAAGTATAAATTGCCTTACAATTTTATGTGGTGCTCCAAACCAATATGCAAACAATCAAATGATGTTTCATTACTACTGAATAAACTACCTTACTCACCAAATAAAGGTATTTATATAGAAATATTAAACTAAAAAGACTTGAGGAGGCAAAAAAATGAGAGTAGTTAGGATATCCACAAATACTAGGAAAGGGGATTTACACTAGAAAAATAGGAGAGTTGTTGCGGATGAGACTAAGATACTGATATATAATGTAGTGTTACTCTAATGGTGGGTGGGTTTATAACACAGAATCGATAACATTCTGTGATTGATTTTTGTGCAAGTAAAAAAGGTCATAAATTACATGTTAATTATTCAACTACAATGCAGGCAACCCAAAAGCCTCCAAAGTTTACATGTTGTTCTTATGATGATATTGATGTTCCGAGCAATGAAGGCTTGGAGGAAGGAGAGAGGAGAAGGAGGATATTATGGCCCTGTCTAAATGATCTCTGTTGATGATGAAACCATTTCTGAAGTGAAAAATGCTGCAGATTCCACCATCTCTCCTTCGTTGCTGCTGCTACTACTACTATTACTACAGTCGCCATTAATGCCTTTTCGAAGGTAGAAACTTCTGCTACCCACATCTCCGATCACATCTGATTTATTCAAACCTGTACCACCAATTCAAAATTCAATAATAATGATAAAAATATTTTATATTTGGTGCTGTATAACATAAACTGAGCTATTTGAGTTCGACTCATTGAAAATTTGTTTGAAAATGATTTTCTTTGTAAATAAATCAAAATTGAAAATGTTTTCAGACTCTGTTAGTGAAGTTTAGTTCGAACTTGGATTGATAAAATTATGCATTATAGGATTGTGTAAAAAACTAAGCTACTCAAGCTAACTTATAATCAACTTGATTAAAATTGTTTGAGACTTGTTTGAAATTTTAGTACATTTTTTTTTAATTTGTTAATTCAATATAATATATAAGAGTTTTAGGGACTAAATTTTTATGTCCTCAAAAGTAAAAATAACTCATCACTCAATTCAACCCAATTCAGCTCATTTACAACCCTATTTGATAAACCTTTTTCATTAAATAAATAACAAAAATTGATAGCACGAACCACAAATAGTATAATTTTTCTTAAACAGAAATGTATAACTTTTTACTCATTACAAAAACGTAACAAAAATCATAATATTTATAACATAATCATAAATAACTCTTTGCAATTATTTAATAATTTTTCATAACGTAGAAGGCATTGAAAAAAACACATGAACCTGAAATCAATGGGTACATGTCATATGAATCATGCTCATAACACCAACAATTTCATGTGATACAAAAACAGACATTCATTTTCACCATTATTTATGATGGGTGGAACACGAAAGCTATGATGTGAGCCTTCTTTAAATAGTGCCCCATTATTTTCATGAGATAATAAACATATTTTCAAGCATATTAATGGCATACTCATATGACAGAGTCGTCTATTAAAGATAAGAAAAGCTACTTCTGAACAATTGACTTTGGAAATTTGGAGTTTCATGAGCCAAACAATCTTTGTTGGCAAAATTAGGACCAAGTGTTTAAAAGTCCCACTACAGATGCCCTGCCTCTAAAAGATAAAAATAAAAAATAAAAAATAAAAACTATAATAAAATGACAAATTATTACATTTTGGGCGGTTTTGCAAGTAGTGGAAGTCTATGTAAGTTATGTCCAAGTTTGACATAATAATAATCAATTTTTTCCACGGGTGGTGATGTTGCACAAGGTCACCATCCAAAAAAAGAGAAGTTTATAAAAGTGGGTTTTGAATCCTAGGGTGGTGGTGGTGATGCTGCATAATGTCACCATCAAAAGAAATTTATAAAGAAAGCTTAATTCTTGGCCGGTAGGGTTTACAATACCCAGCAATTTTCCCCCTAAATAGTATGAGTTGTAAAAAATCATCTAATTTTAATGTTCCGTTTCATTTGTTTCAACTAAAAATAATTTTTATATTTAGTTGTACTCTTAAAATTGATGTGTTTGATGGTGGTGGGAGTGACAGTGACAGTGGCAGAGGTGGTGGAGGTATTAGTGGTTGTGGTAGTATGTTAGCAATGGTTAAATTGAAGTTTGTAATGTTTTTTTCATTTTAAAATTGAAAAATAAATAAGTTTATTTTCCATTGATTAGGGGAAAAAATTCCCTTAACTTTTATTTTTCAATATACCAAACTTTAAAAAATGCAAAAATAAAAAATATATATAATTAGTTTGGTATTTAACATTTTAAAGTCAAACATTTTATGTAACTATTACGATTATATTATACAAACACCGCCATTGCTATTATAAATTTATATTTAAAAATATAGGAGAAATCGCAATTTAATATAGATTTTAAAAAAACAAAATTCAAATTAGTGATAAATCTTATCAACTTTAATAATTAAAATTCTAAATTTTTCTATGAATTTGTAAATATTTTGTGAAATCTCTAACTGATTTGCAATTCTTCTAAAAATATATATATATACAAAAAGTAGAAGTTTGATACTATTTTTGAAACTTCCTAAAAGGTTCTACTAAGCAAATAATCTCCATAGCATTCTTCTTTATTGCTAAGCATAAGCAATTTTCAGTAAAAATATTTTCTGTATTTATTTTTTTCAATATTTTTTCCTCATTTTCTTGGAACCAAACAACAAATAAACAGAAGAGAAAAATAAACCAAGTACTTACTTTCAAGACTGAAGTGGGAGTGGTATAATTGGAAGGTTGAAGCAGAATTTTTTTGAAGCAGAGGACTCCGACCTTCTTCACTGTACTTGTTAACGACAAGCCTTATCGTTTCCTCCACGCTCGATCCCAATTTGACCATAGTCCGGATGGGTCCGGGGCTTCCTTCAACTATCACATTCACCACCACCTTCGAGTCCTTACTGTACCCCTGCACTCCAAAATTATAGCCACTTAGCTTCAACACCTGGGGCAGTGTTTGAGAAACCAACAAATGAAAATGAAATACATAAATTTAATTTATCTTCCCTTTCTCTTATTTCTTTTTCTTCTTACAATTCATGGTTCAAACATAGTTTTAATGTATAGAGTATATGATATGAAAAACAGCATATGGATGATATTTAGCATATTTTATTTTTATTTTTATTTTTTGTGATAGTCACATATTGGTACAAATTGTAATGTTACTTAGTTCAAGGTTTTTATATTTTTTCAATTTGGTAAATAAAATTAAAAGAGAGCATAAGATGATGATCATGTTTCCATAATAATTTTATTATCATTATTGTATTTTATTTTTTGACAATGAGCTTTCCTAAAGTAGAATTATATTTTCATCAAGTAAATTTTAGAAATTTACAGTCATCGACAAATCACAAATATAAATAGAATGTAATATTTGAAAAAGTCCAATAATAACTCTAAAAATTCATGGTTACCGACAAATCACGCATATCAATAAAATGTAATATTTGGAAAATCCAGCGAGAGGTTTGATTTTTAGAGACTTCTAAAATGTTTTGTTAAAAGAAAAGGAAAAAAAAAAAAATTGAATTCTCTCTAGTTGGCCATCTAATTTGAGAGGACATTTGAACTTGGTAGCCCCATTTTGAGGTTGACCTAAGTGATCTCAACCCATATAACTTAAGAGAGCATTTGGATTTGATAGCCTCATTTCGGAGTTGATCTTAGTGATTTGAATCGTTTACTTTTTAAAAATTCTTAAATAGAATAAACATGCAAAAAAATTACATGATCGAACATTAATAGTTATATTTCGAATCACATTTATTTTTAATAAATAGATGACCATTCTAATTTCAAGAATAATTACTATTTTTTGTAATACAAATAAGATTCAAACATATAGCCATCGATATTTAATTATCATAATTTTTTTGTATGAATATTCTACTAAACAAATCATAAAATATAAATGATTTGAATTATCAAAGTTAGCCTAAAAATGAATCCACCAGGTGCAAACGCTTTCTAAAATTGAGATGGTGAACTTGAGATAATCTTTAAAAAAAAAAAAATTGATTTTTAGCTTTTATAGGAAAAATAACAGATTTAGAATTCTGTAAATTCCAAAATGATCAACTTGAAATTTGAGTAAAATAAGTTTAATTAAATTACAAAGGCGACCCCACAAAGATGTAGGGACCGGAATTCTATATTCAAATGTAGAAAATAAGAATCGATAGATTTTGGGGGTGTTTGTTAATTTACAATTATATTTTTAGATTTTTTTATTTTTTTTAAAACAGAAAAAGATTAAAATAGGTTATAGATTATTATTATTATTTTTTTATGAGAAATGTAAACAAATAATAAATAATAAAAAATAAAAACTAATTAAAAAAAGTTATTTCACAACTTATTTAATAAACATTACTTAGCAACTTAAATCTATAATCTAACAGTTACACCAAATTATAGTCATAATTTATAATGTATTAAGTTATAATTTATAATTTAAGGTTTTTCCAACTTTACAAAAATTAATTAACTAATCACGTAGCAAAACATTAGAAAAAGATTTTGCCCCATTTGCATGACAACTTATTTTTAAATCAAATATTTCTATATTTTAATCCATTAATGCAACCAAACAATCCTTAACATTTTGATCACCAAATCAGGCCCAATCAAAGAATGAGAAATTGAAAGTACCTCGAATTTTTGAGGAGATTGAAGAAGGGGCAAATAGTCAGCAGACGAGAAGACGTCCGTACAAGTCATGGGACGAAAAAGGACGGAGTCCGGAGGAGTCGTCAGATTCCGATTGTCGTCGTCAGTCCGCAGAGTTGGCTCGGAGTTGCATCTCTGTAAAATCTCGATGGGTCTCGAAGTCTTCTTCGACAACTGTCCAGTCGCCGACGGAGTTCGCCGGCGAGGCCACGGTGAGGGTTGTGCCGGTCTGAATTTTCGGTTCGACACCGGAATTCTCCGCCGTAGTCTTCTCTCCTCCGGCATATATGTATATATATAGAGATGGTGGTGGGATGTATATGTGTGTGTGTGTGTGTGTGTATAGGTGAAGTGTTGTTTTATTATACGGAGGCAGGGAGGAAGGAGGTGAGGAAGTTTCTTTGTTGGGATGAAGGTAGGTAGTTGTGTTGGTTGGTTGCGTGCGAATGTTGTATCTGTGCACTCTTGTCTCTCACTTTGTATCTACGCACTCGTCTCTCGCTCTTATTTTCTTTTTTGGGTAAACTTAAAATACAAATTGTGTGTTGTAATTAGGAAAATTATAAATCCTTCTTGTTAAAAAAATTTATTTAACAAAATTAATTACAAAAATAAAATTTATAATTACTCTCTTATACAATAATAAAATTATATAAATTATTAACTGAAACATTTATAATATCATCAAAAACTGTTAATTGAATGATGATTTATTAACAAAGTGAGCAATTTGTCATGAAATTAGAAACCTCAACGGATAGAATGTAATTTTTAGAACCACCGAGAACGATTCGTATTTTAATTAAATTTCAAAAAATATATTTTTAATTTATCCTTTCTTTTTTTTATGTTGCAATTTTGAGAAATTCTATGGAGTTTGATTTTTAAAATAAAAAATAATAATGCACTAAAACTAACCTAATCCAACCCAACATTCGTGGGGTTGATTCGAGTTGAATTCACGATTCCATTATCTATAAATATTTAAAATTTAAATATAACACAAATAAAAGAATAAAATATTATTTAGTGCAAGTCAATACAAATTAAATCCAACTCAAACAAGTTTAAATACAACCAATACAAATTAAATTCACTAATGAAACCAATACAAATTAAATCCACTGCAAAATCCAACTTAAATTTCTAGTATTTTCTTTGTTCAAATCAAGTCCATTGCAATAGCTTAATTAGGGGAAGATATGCCAATATAAATATAATTTTTCAATATATATATATATATATATATATATATAATTTGGTTCTCCGTTGATTCAATTTAAGTAAGGCCTAAATCAAGAATCAAATCAATCTTATTAATTTAATGGTTTCAAGATTCAGAATCAAACTAAGCCTCCGTTTGGGAAGTGGGTTGGTTTTTTGACTTTTTGACTTTTTTGACTATATGAGCCTGGGCTCAAAAGCTTGGTTTGGGAAGGGTTTTTGGCTTTTTAGCTTTTTTGATTTTTTTGTGAGAGAAGAGTGTAATGATTATGGGGTTGGATGAGATGTTTTGTCTGTTGTGGCTCATGAGCCTATTCTGTCTTTTATGGCTCATTGAGCCAAAAAAAACCAATGAACCCTTGCCAAACCAACCCTTAGCCCAAAAATGTGGGTTTAGTTTGATTCTTTTTTTAGTGAATAATTTGAACACCCCTCACTGTTATTGGTGTTAGATGTGGGACACTTCATTAAAATGTGTAATGTATAAATTTGAACTCATTTATAGAAATAAAAGTGTAGGCTTTACACACATTTTTCTTGATGTATATATAAATGGGTGGAAGTAGGTGTGTTCCTGTATCTTTATTATGCTTTTCTTTTATAAATGCTAATGGGTGTGTTTGGGAGCATTGTTTGATATTAAAAATTCCGTAAAAAGTATTTCAGAAGTAGTGAAAAAGTTTTTAAAAATTTAAAATTAATAAAAATTGTTTTGAAATAAATAAAAAATATTCTAATATACAACCTTTTAAAAAAAGTGTATCATATATATTCTTAGTTATGCAATTTTCTTTTTTAGTTATGACATTTTATTTTTTTTTAGTTATGACTTGCGCGTTCTTTAGTTATATCTCATGTTATGTTTAGTTATGACATTTTTTTTAAAATTATGATTTAGAAAATTGAAGTTTTGTAATTTTTCTATTTAGTTATGTGGTGCTTGTGTAGTGTATACCATATTTCCCAAATTTAAAACCATAAATAAAATTAACGCTCCATTTGTTTGGGTACAAAATATTTTCTAATGAACAACTTTTTTTTAGAAAATATTTTTCATATTTAGAAGTGGTGTGGTGGAACAAAGGTGGACGTGGAGGCAGTGACATGGTGGGGCAACAGTGGAGGTGATGGCGATAGTGATGGTGGTTGTGGTGATGGTAGTGTGGTGACATTAAACATTTTTTGTCTCTTAAAAATTAAAAACATTTTTTGTCTAAATAGACTTGTTTTCTATTGACCATGAAAAATGTTTACGTTGACTTTCATTTTTCATTGTACTAAATACCAAAAAATACATAAAATATTTTTCAAAAATTATTTTTTGCCCAAATAAACGGAGTGTAAGAAATTATTTTTTTTTTGGGGGGCAATTTCAAAATTTTAAAGGGAAAATATTGAAAATAACTTTTAAAATAACATATAAAATGAAAGTTTTCAATAGGAAATGGGGGGCAATTAAGGCCCATAAGTTATGGACCTGGCTATTTTGGTTTGTTTAGATATTGGGTTTTTTCGTTGGTTCAATGAACCAGTACCCATTTAGTCCTATTACGAGCAGACTCAATTATTAGCGAATTGGGCCAAGTCATATCTTTCAAACTAAAAAATAAAGGAAATATAGTTTTATATGGAGCCAATGAAACCATACATGCCCATCCCTATGCTTCGAAATATTGAGCCTAAGCAGCCACTGTTGTGTGGTTGTTACAGCCCGCTTCGGATTTTATTTTAATGATTTTTGAAAAGTCTAAAATTTTTGAAATATTAATTTGTAAATTATATTTTAATTTTAAACAATAAATAATAATCTCAATCAAATAATCAAAGGCAAATCGACACAATGATTTAACGTGAAAAAATTACAATTTGAGCGCCTCCAATTGTGATAAAAAAATCACAAGACAAAGTCACAAAACAATCTATTAAGAAAACAAAAATGAATTACACGTGTACCCTCAATTACTTAACAAATCTACATCTGAATTGAACCGACCCTGATGTGACTCTTCCACCACCGTCTTCACCTAAGAATTGTCTTCCCAATGTCGAATCTACAATGCTAATGTCGAATTCACGGCGATGAGCCATTTCGGAATCCACCAAAACTTTATGCCCAAATTTCTCGGAATCCACCGAAGAACAATTCTCTTTTGTGAATAAAAAACAACAAATAAATCTCTTGATGATGTTGATTTAAAGTTCACGGATCTATTAATTGCTCTTAAATCATCAAGGAAACACTCATAAAGCACCCTCCAATATAAAACACTTTATTTTTTCCTCCTTTCTGAAAATATGGACGGCACAAACCCTAAAACGAGCAAACAACGCACTTTATAATTGTAATGACCCGGATATGCATTTGATTAATTAGTTATCTAATTGCATTGTTATGTGCTAATTGATTGTGTGTTTGATGAGAAATTGTATGTGAATTAGAATGATTTGAATTTATATCCGTTGATTGTAGAAAACTTGTTAAAGTTACAACTTTAAACGAAAAATTGAGGGTCTTAGAGGCGCCATAAACTAGAACTGAGGCCATATTTGTGATCAACATGGTTTTTAGAGCATAGTATGAAGATTTGTAAAAATTTGATTCGGAATGAATTAATTAGATTTAATTAAGCATTGTATATATATATATATATATGAGCCTTGGTTGAGTCTAAGGCTCAACAAACAAAAATCTGGAGAGAAAGAGAGAGAAACAACAAGAGAGTTCTAGAGAACTCAAGAGGAAGAGAGAAAGAAGGGGATTTGAGCCAAATTTTCACCAATTCAACCATCTAAGGTAAGAATTCCACTTTAATTTCTTGCATTTAGGATGTTATACTCATGAATTTATGGTATCTAAGGCTAATCAAGAAGAAGATGGTGGAAGAGAATATAGGAATGGACAAGATAAGAGAAGACTTGTAGCAATTAGCTCTCATATCAACATACATGGCATGATTTCATGAATTTCTTGTTCATCTTTACAACAACTTGCATGATTCTTCAACTTTGGGGGAAAACCGATGGATTTTGAGACTTGAACTCATATATGCATCTTTTGAGGGCTTTGCACTCTAAGTTCAAGATTTGAGTTTGTTTTAATGTTATGGTTTGAGTTTGAAGTTAAACATAGGTAATTCAACATGTTTTTAAGAGTTTTAAGCCTTGATTTGCATAAAAGTGAAGTTGGATCTTGAAAAGAATAAGTTTACCTTTATACACAGATTTTCAAGCTTAGTTTTGCCCAGACCGCACGTGCGGTGGAGCTTCTGCACGTGCGGCCAGTGATCCCGCGCGTGCGGTTTTCATAGCAAATTTTCAGTTTTATTTTTTTTTCATTTTTTTGAGGTTCAAGCCTTTATTTGCATGGTTTTCAAGTGTATTTCAAAGTCATGTGCATCTCTGGAACACGAAAGGACTTAAAGAATGAATAGAAACGACCAAATGAACGAGTAACGAATAAATCGACAAAATGAATTGAATGTGCTTTAAGATGTTGTGCTATGAATGTTTGTGTTTGTAGGTCAAGACTCGAAGACCGAGCAGTTGGTTCTGGAAACCCACTGTGAGTAACATTACTGTAAAGATATGTTGTTATGAAATATATTTGAAATGCTATTTGATATGTTATGTTTTTGAAACGTTATTTTGCTTAAGTGAACAAATGTTCTATTTTGAATCTACTGTGGTGTCTAAAGAATGGTCCTAAGTCATGGAGGGCAACATGTTAATACGGGTCTATGACATATATGTGTTTACGAAATCTCGTTAGCCATGTAATAACGTGGTGATGTGTTTAATCGGCATCCGGAACAAATTGGAAGACGATATGTTATGTTCTGTTGGATGTACCATTATTATGTTCTGATATGAGAATGATTCTAATATGATTTGTGTTATGTTTAAGAAATGTATGGAATTCGTTCACTAACCTCTTTACTTCAATGTTATTCACTGAGCTATAGCTCATTGTTCGTATATATATATATATATATATATAGGTGAGCAACATGAAAATCAAGCCTAGATGAACTCTGTTAGTCGAGTCACCGCCTAAAGCCTTTTGAGATTTTGGTGCCTCCGAGTTGAGGCTAGGTCCAAAAGACCGTTGTTTAGTTGTGACCATGGTGCTGAGTTTTTGATATGTGTATATGTATATGAATAATGTTATTGTACAAATTGTGATGTATGTAATACAGGATGGGTAAATTAACGTTTTGTGCATGCGTTATTGCATATAGATTCATA